GAAACCTTGGCAGCGCCAGCATTGACCGAGCCTCTTCTTTCCAATGTGCTTTTCAATTTGGATCTCAATACCAAACATCAACGTCTCCTCAAAGATATCATAAACATTGAGAGAGGGGTTGAGTTGGATTAAATTGAATAACGGGATTTGTGTCTTCTGAGTGACACTGATAACACTATATCCAAGAAGTTGTAGTTCAGATTTAATCTTTTCTGCTTTAGCATTATTTGGAAGACCTCTTAAAATGGCTTTTACGGGCCTATCCTGTTCGAGGTTAAATGATTTGTACTCAGCCCCCTGATTTGTAAGAATCTGAGCGACTGAGCGGTAGTTATTCTCATTCTGCCTTTCTACGCGTAAATATAGCATTCATTCTGCAAATAGCAGAGCGAACAGTTGCTTGCACTGTCGAAGTAAGAAATTCAAAGTTTTTAGGATACTTCTGTTAGAGCTTTCAGTGTGTGTGTGTGTGGGGGGGAAGCAGAACTGTTTTCGCTCTGCTTCTCGTTGAGAACTTCTTTCTCCCCCTGCTGATGGGGTTATCGAGGTCATTAGCCTGGGGGGGCTCCTCGCAGCGATCACTCCAAAATGGAGGAAGACCTTGAGGAATAACTGGGTTAGGCATGTTTTCAGTCTGGTTGTTTCGCTCCTCGCGAAATAAGATGGCGAGGAGGCTGCTGCAAACCATCGTTGTCTATTTTTCGAGCTTGTTTTTGCTTCGGGGAGAGTTATGGTTGCTATGTCGTTGATTTAAAGATAATTTTTGTATTTTTTTGCTTGTACTGGCTATTAATTTTTCTGCTTCTAACTTTGCAGGTTTGTTTTTTAGATGGAGAATTTGGATTAATTCCTAAATTAGGCGAAAGTGATTTTTTAGGAGAATTTTGAGTATTTTGAGCTGGTTTAGAATTAGATTTTGCATCGCTGATACTTTTGGATTGGGTATCACCTTTTGCAACTAGTAGGAGTTTCTGAATACATTCTTCCTCCGTTAGAGATATGCTAAATATTGGCAAATTCAAGCGTTTGGCAAGAGTGGTGAGAGAAGAAAGCGTTACTTGCGATTCCTGCTGGACACACTTCATGTCATGGCTCTTCTTGCTCTGCGCAGGGTCTGCTCAAGTTCCGTAAAATGGCTTTTCGGCTGCTAGAGTTGTTTGACATGAATAAGAAAGCTATCAGGATCGATGAGAGATGAGTTTGATGATTGAAGTGAAGCTGATGATTGGATGATAAAGAGACAGGGACAGATGATGAATCCGTAGGAATCGTCGTATCCATGTCAGTCACGTTGAGAGGAGCGTCGGGCATTTCTTCCGGCATCGTATTGATCCATGGAGGTAGGAAGTAAGATGGAGTGGCCCTAACTGGTTTTCCCAATACCCTGCTTTGATTGCTACGATCGGTTGTAAATATTTTGTAATTACGTCGTAAATATAAATATACATGTATATATTTTCTTTTTCTACAGTACTTCAGAGTCCTAAGTATATGAAAAGAATACATTTTTAAACAACATTTCATTCTGAACGGAATTAAATACTATACGTTTCACAGAACAGTTAGCTCAGAATAGTTTAATTTGAAATATTTTCACAAGCTTTTGTTAATTACATTAGAAAAAAAATTTAAGGTAATTCGATTTTATTCGGTTAAGGATTACAAAATTAAGATCAAAGTTTATTGTATTATATTTAAAATTATCATATGTTTTTTTCTTTCTATTTATAGAGCTTCTTCTAAAATACTTTCTCTCAAATATGACGCGATTTTTTAGCTTCTAAGGTATCTTTTAAATCGAAAATATAAGTCAGTTTATAATATTTGGTCCATTTCAAATAGAGCACCTTTATTTTAATAGCGAAATACTTTAAGTAGTAACTTAACTTTCTTTGAATATTTCTGAAAGAGAATAAAATAAGGATTTTTTTTTTATATTATTTAAAACTTGTAACTGAGTTTATAAAATGTAAGGGAAATAATTCTTTAATTACACTTATCAGATGTTTTTTACCCTTAATTTCAAAAACATATTCCAAAAACTCTTCTTAAAACTTTCTAGAATTTCTTAGAATTTGCCATACCTATTAGCAGATTGCTTTCCAGTAGGAACAATTCTTGCTCAAGAGTTTTATAACGTATTTGTCAACAGGATTTCAAACGACCGCACCTGGTACTTCCTCCGAATTTGCAAATGTATCCGTCTTCTGTTCCACACATTTGTGTAAAACTGTACATAATTTTACACAAATGTGTGGTTACAAATAAAGGAAAAGTTAACTTATCCGCATATATGTGTGTGTATATTTTATTAATTTAAATAAACGTGTAAGTTTTAGTAAAACGTGTAAGCCCAAAGTGATTATTTTTCAGATATATAAAAATAAAATGATGAGTTTAAAATGAGCAACAGTAAAGCCTCTTCTCTAAAAAATTTTAGAAAGTACATGTTACAATAATATGTGGATGTGAAAAAAAATTATTTAAATCATACTCTATCAAAGGTATCGAAAGATGTATACAATTTTAAAGGTACCGTCAGGTTTTTTTTTTTTTTTTTTTTTTTTATTCTTTAAGCATACCATTTTTGCTAAAATCTACATTTTTGTAGTTCAACAGCTTTGAATTTTATAAAACAAATTCATAATCAAAATTGCTGTTATTAGTTATCGAAAAATAACCAAGATGTGATTTTTGCGTAAACTATACAAATTGCTATTATCCATCACACTATGAATTTTTATTATTATTATTTTCGGAAGTGACCCGTTTTTTTTATTTGTATGGAACTGTCGTGTGTCGAAATACTATCAGAGCGCTGTCAAGCGAGCTTCTGAATGTAAACAAAAAATGCCCCATCTGGTGACCGAAGCTTCGGAGCAGTGCTTCACTTCTAGTGCCGGTTTGGCCACTCCTTCCTTTCTTACCTCCACCTATTGATCGGTGGTGTAGAGGCAGGTGGGGAGCTAATTCTCCGCAAGTCTTACTCTTTGTCTTACCTGTTCGAAAGTCACCCTCCGAATTTTGTTTATCGGAAATTATAAAAATGCTGTTTTTAAATATTTAAAGGGGTGTCACTCCAAATCTTGTCGAAATATGTATGTATATGTAAATGACAAACACACACCTTTGGGCGAAATATAAAACCCGGAAGTTCCCAGAACTGTTTTTTTATAAAATATACTCTTTTTTGTTATAACTAAACAACATAAGAAACGGCCATTGATAGCATATCGTGAGTGTCACATCGGAAAAGGAACGCAAGGTTAAGCAATGCTGCTATCCGGATTTATAGTTATGACCTTATACAGTCAAAAGTCTTTAATCCGGACTCGTCGGGACTTCGGCGATTCCGGATTATCGATTTTTCCAGATTATAGATCATCAGTTTAAATCTGGTAAGATGGCATGCAGAAATTAAAAATATGAAACCGGAAGCGAATCTATCACTATCGGAATCTTCACTATCGGAAGCGAATTATAATGACGAAGAACTTGATTTAAATCATATCAAAGACAGAGTTCATCGAGATGAAACTACAATTTATATAGCAGGGAAATATAAGCCACATAAAATAAAAACGTCTGCCCGGAAGATAAGGATAGTGCTGACAGATTAACTTCCGATTCATTGCGCGCCTCGGCTTCCCCTCCCCCGCAGAACAGCGTGAAATTGATAAACAGATTTCGGAATGGTGAGAGAAACAAATATTTATCCATTTTTTGCAGCAATTCCACTTTTTGTTTAATGGACTTAACATACTTTCGCTTTGTAGATCCTTTACATGATCATTTACTGAAACATACTTTCGCTTTGTAGATCCTTTACATATTAGTAAATATATATCAGAAATTCGACATGATCGAAAGTTCAAGCTTACTTTTATAAAATTGCTCTAACAGTCTGCAAAAAACAATAAGCCGGATCCAATTCGAAGATTAAGAACAACGCAATTTGCAAACATTAACTGAATTAGATAATTTTAGCTTAGCTTATACCGTCCGTTATACATTAAACGCGCATGCGTAAACGTATTATGCGCATGCGCACACGCATATTCGCAGCATTAAAGGTCTTACGCGCACGCTTAAACACCTATGTACATGAGCGCAGAAAGTTTGTAGCTTTGAGATCCGGATTATGGGTGTCCGAATTAACGACTTTTGACTGTATAAAACATATTAATAGAGACCTTCGGTCGACCTATTTTACTGGAGAACTCAATACATGGTTCATTTGTTAAGCAACGGTACAACACAATTTTTGATACGTCTCTTACCTTATAACTATAGCGGTGATCTGAAATAAAAAAACTCCTTTCAAGAATAAGGTTTCTAATAAAGACAATTTTCTACGAGTCAGCTCATCGAAGGTAACTTACCTAATTTTGCGGATATTTTTCGAAGTTTTTACCCTAAGAATTATAAATGTTTGTACTTTTCATTTTTCACTTTGCTATTATGTATTACTGATTTGATGTCATACAGATATGTTCTATTCCAGCGTTTCTCAACTGGATTTACTCCAGGAACCGGTAAAATATTTTGGTAAATTCTCGCGGACCGGTAAGTTTAATAATTCGACCCATTGGCACAATTTTTTCACATAAATAAATCATCTGCGATCACATTATTTTCTAAACTAGTAAACTATTGTTATTGTAATCTAGTTGCTGTTGTAATATCGGTTGTCGTCCGATGACACTTTGGATTTTGGACAGATAGCTGTATATTTCGCGGAGAGGCAAAATTTTTTTTGGACCGGCGATTGAGAAACACTGTTCTATTCCATATTGGAGTTCTGTATCTTTTCTTCATCGTCAGCAAGAGCCTTCTGTGACAGCCCAGCGTACTTATGAAAGATATTTATATTACTATATTTTTTTCAAAGCGCACAATTAACTGAATTAAGAAATATATTACAGTAACAACATCCTCATTAACTGTTATTTAATGTAATTATCGTAACAGACTCTTACAGCATATCATTTTTTCTTTAGATTATGGTGGAAACTACAACATTACTCAGCGGACAGATGTAAATGATCTATATATGCACCATGGGATGCTGTTAAAGAAACCACAATTAGCAACTCTTTCGTCAAGCTAAATTCATGCACACGAAGAGAACAATAATATCGAAGACTGTGAAGATATTGATACAGCTTTTCCTGAATAATAAAAAAATGTAAATATTATAATAATGCTGCTTTATCTGATTATATAAGGGTTGAAGACTTGGAGTCTATGAAAAACTGAGTGACGATGACATAATAAAAACTGCCCGAAAAGATGAAAATGGAAAAGAAGAGACCTTATTGGATTCAGAAGAGAATGCAGAGACTGTTGTGCTTCCTTATGATCAAGCCATAATGGACTTTATAAAATATCACATCAGCTTCAGGCTGTGAAAAATAAATTTTTACGTACAATGACTGATTCAGACTATCTTGTTCGCAATGGACTCCTCTACAGAGGAAACTGAATACTATATAAAAAGGATTAACGATAAATTTTTCAACAAGGCTATTTCTAGTGATTGTAAATTTCTCGATGATGAGATTCTTCGAGAAGATATTAACCATCAAACCTCTTGCTCATATTATAAGGTATTTCTCCTGCCTTCTTAGCACGCCTTCATAGTATAGTGGTTTGCACGCTGGTCGCATACTCCACAGGTCCGTGGTTCAATTCCTGGCGAACGCGTTGCTAAATTTTCATCACTCCTGCTTTAAAAATGACTCTATAGTGGCGCCCGAAACTAAAAGGGTGGTGGAACTAAAAGGGGATGGATAATAGATGATGATTCTCCACACCCAGGATTTGACGACTGGATCCCTTAAAAACCCCAGTCGCCCTTTAAAAGGGGGAGTATATAAGGTATTTCTCCCGCCTGCTTAGCATACTTTAATCTCAAATGTTCACATTTTAATGGTGAAACAATTATGAAGAGCCATTTTGTGAGGCCCCTAGTGGGATTAAGCGATAAGGCTCTGGTAAGAGCAGGATAAATTCCTGCTGAACACCAGAATACGCAATTAAAGCATCAAAGCATGTTAGCATGGCTTCGTAGTGTAGTGGTTTGCATGCTGGGCGCGTATTCTAGAAGTCCGTGGTTCGATTCCCAGCGAAGGTGTTGCAAATATTTAATGACTTTTTAATGAAATTTCAAGAGACTTAATATCTCTACAATATTATCACAGATTGTATGACAACTGATACAAATATATTGAAAAATTTGCACTGAAATTTTACAGTATGATCTGTAGCTATCCGCAAATTTCTTACTAGTATATAAAAATTTTTTTAAAATCTAATTTATGCATTAAATTACTTTTAAAAGAAAACAAATAGCGGTAGTACTAGAGCGCGCAAAATTTTTCATTTGGAAACTCATGTCAAGGGCTTCGTATGCAGATTTTCTTTTTAGTCCAAAGAGGCAATTTGCCCAAAGGGACTATTAATTTCATTTTCGCAATTTGCATTGATTTACTACAAGTGTTAATTCACTTATCAAATTGTTGCCACCAAATATTATCGTCCTTTATTATATTTAAAGAAATTAAATAATGAAGAAGAATTGTACATAAAAAATCATTTACACTGAAGAATTACGCTCATTATTACCAATTTGTAATTTGCAGTATATTATTGAATTTCTCTAAAACCGCAAACGAGGTGCGTAGGCAATGGCTTTCCCAAGCCGAAAGCCATTGATTCCTGGTCAGAAGCATGGACCTTATAAGAAATAGACTAACCCAAACGGGTTTTCTCCCTCGTCTGAGGCGTTGCCGACTGTCACCTTGATAACATCCGGAGGAGTAGGGACGACTTGCAGTAATTTAACATTAATTGCCTATTGCAGCGTGTATAATTGTCAAGAAAACGCTGGTTGTAGCACCTCATTTCACAAATTAGAATTTTCTACATATTTTTATTTTTGAAATTTAGATTGATTTTAAAAAACTTAGCATATTTATCAAGCATGATTAACGTTCCAAATAATTATAAAGCTATGCATGCTTTCAGAGCTGGATATTTTTTAGCTTTCTTATGCTGTAAGGAAATTTGTAACTACTTTTTTAGAAAATAATATTTTAAATCTGAACTAATAGAATTTCAAACAAACAATTTTCTCTTGCAATTTTTATGCTTTTATTGGTGTAAATAAGTAAAAAAATACTAAAATATTTAAAAAACGAATTTTCGAAAGTTTTGTTTAAAATTCTAAAACTTTCTGCTGCTTTTTTTAAAAATTATAGATGATTATTACAGCACAATTTCTGTAAAGGAATTTTATTTCAATTATATTTCATAATACAATCATAGTGATAAACACTTTTAACTCCTTAAACATTTTTATACATTTAATTCTAATATTAAAATTGTATTTAACCGTAATAATTAATTTTGCTTGTGTTTTATAGTGATTATTTTTTTTAATTTTTTTTTAGATTTTTAAAATTTTCTGTTGATTTAATTTATTAGCCTAAAGGGGCGGTAGCCTAGAAAGGCAGTTAGTTTCGAAGCGGCATTTTGCGCTGTTTTACTATAAATGTCGGTGTCTACTTGCAAATTGTTGTTACCAAATATTATTGCCCTGTATTATATGTGAGGAAATTAAATAATGAATAATCTGCATGAATACATGTATGTTTCTCGCATTGTGACAAAAACGACAGTACCTAGAGACATCAAATTCTGAATAATGTAATCCTCCACCCGAACATGGGTATCTGGACGGTCGAATTTCGAATTTGTTTTAATCTATTTCATATTTTGTAAAATTTTAACGAATTTTTGAATAACAAACTCAACGAGTTCAGAGTGAGCACTATACGGAAAATAATAGTTTTATCTCCAGTGCGGAAATTCTAAAGATATGCTGTTTTCAAATGAATGTGGTTTACGGGCGAAGAACATGATATTCAATAAAATAGGTAACACACAAGACTTTAAAAAAAAAGGTTCCTTTTGGGCGTAATATAAAATCTGAGTGCTTCTAGATTTTATCTTTTTTTTCCCTTCATTCGCTCAGAAATTTTGGCTCCGAATTTTTGAATTATTAAAATAACTATTCCACTTTAATGTTAATAATTTAATGATCATATAATCAAATAAATATGATCGTTTTGTAATGTTATTATAGTTTGAGAAATCACTGCCTGAAAATTTTCATTAAATTAAAAAAAAATTATCAGACCTTGTTTAATTTTACCTTATTTATTTCAAAGCATTGCGTACTATCAATCTTATTTAATTTTACTTTATTTTTACGCAAAATTAAGTTCATAAATTTTGTGCTTAGAATTTTTACCGTTTTACCCAAATTAAAGATGTTTGTACAAGATTACGCGTGAAAAAAAATGCGCGAAATACAGTAAAAAGTGCGTTAATGAGATATATTAAATCCTATTTGGAAAAAACTGTGGCTTTCATAATCTCATCCCTATACAACGTATCACATTTAATAATTAAAAAGATTATGTGATACAAACGCCATAGGTTTCAGTGTTAAAGTAAACCAGATCGTCCCTACTCTTTCTTGCCGACATGTCAGTGACGTGCATCCCGCCCACTGGGTTAGTCTATCTTTTATAAGGTTCACGTTAATGACAAACGCACACTACTTTGTCTCTAATGGCACGCTTCACAGAGATCTAAAAATTGAGCCTGTTGACAAATTTCTTCACCGCACCAACAGCAGATAGAGCTGTCAATTGCCCGTACCTTGCTCAATTCAACACGTTTGATTATATACCTCTGCAAGAGGACTACAAAATAAGACCGTACGCTGCACATATCACGAGGAATGCAATTTTCCCTACTTGATTATGAAGCGCACGAACACTTTGTACATAAATTTTATTTAATGGATTATTGTACTTTATTTGTGTATAATGTTAATTTTTTTTCTTTCAGTTTCTGCGATTGTTTTATCATGTATTTGCCGACCCCCTGGTCCACGCATGGTTACCTCCTCTCACCTACCTCCGATGCCTCCTTGCCCCGTCCTGTTTTTACCGTCATGTGCCCATACGCCTAATTCTATCATTGAGCAGGACACGTCACGCTCCACGCGATATCTCTGCAATACCGGTATGACTAACTGACTGGAAAGATTTATCAAGAGCAGGTCGCTACAGCGGTTGTAGCACCGGTTCTACTAAAAGTTATGCTATAAGATATTCCGAGTTATGTAAAGATATGCCTACTGTTTTCAAAATGGCTTATGCTACTATACGCTGCATCGGAAATCTCCAGCACTTACAGTGTATAGGTATGCTCCATTTATTGGATTTCATTTCTTCATTTTTAAGACTCCTACATGGAGCAAATATAGAAAGACAAAGACCTCCGAGTCGTGTACCTTTTCAACGAGTGATGATCTAAGGTATATGTTAAACATTTGTCACTATTTAGTTCTAAGGAATTGAAATTAAAGTTTCGGTTTATTGTTCTGTTTTCATTATTTTTAACAAAATAATTATATATTTGGCTTCTGAAAACCAAGGTGGGCAGAATACCTTGATACACTCTTACTGCTACCACAGAAAGTATCCAGAAAGAAGAGAAAACGTAGTTCTTAATAAACGGGGTTTAGGAAATGGCGATACCTAGTTGTGCAAGTATCATTGGCACAGACAATACGAAATTGACAGTTACCGTTTTAAATGCTTCTAGTATTCGCGATCGAATAACAGAGAGCTGAAACATTTTTCATTTTTAATTCACAGAATAAGAATCTAAAAAAAGAAATCTTTGGAAATATCACGTAATTTTCCGCGTCAAAGATAAATATTCATTTCAAGCGCTCACTTGCAAATTTTAGGGTGTATTTTAATTGAAATTTTTTATAAAGAATAAAGATAATTAAATATGTTGCATTAATTAATTAAAAAAAGACGTATACATCCTCTCCGGAGGGTTGGATTCGGACGCGCCTTTATGTTGTATTCTTTTATTGACTTCCTTAAGCAATTACTTTCGAAGCCGGTATTGAAGGAACAAAACAGTTACGTAATCCTAATTTAAAATTAAAAAAAAAAAAAGAGATTTGTGTTGTTTTCGTTGAGATTGTAACTTGAAATGTTTTTTAAAACAAAATCTACATGCCTTGCATTCACAAAAGGAGGCTGTACCCTTAAATCTATAGTATATTTAAGCACCGCCTATTTTGTGACCTTGCGGGCTACACGACGCAGGGACCTTATAAGAAATAGACTAACCCAGTGGGCGGGGCGTGCATCACCGACATGTCCGCAAGAAAGAGTAGGGACGATCTGGTTTACTTTAACATTGAAACCTATGGCGTTTGTATCACATAACTGTTTTTAATTATTAAATGTGATACGTTGTATAGTGATGATATTATTTACCGTTTTACCAAAGTAAAGATGTTTGTACAAGAGTTACGCGTAAAAAAAAATGGGCGAACTGTAGTAAAAAGTGCTTTAATGAGATATATTAAATCCTATTTGGAAAAAATTGTGGCTTTCATAATCTCATCACTATATAACGTATCACATTTAATAATTAAAAACAGTGTGATACAAACGCCATAGGTTTCAGTGTGAAAGTAAACCAGTTCGTC